CGTATCAATACTATCCTTAAAATTCGTAATTTTGATTGGGTGGGAGGATCTCGGAAGTGATCTGCAATTTGTGTAACTATGACGGTCGCTCCTGTTGGGCATGCCCCCTGGGGCATGCCCTCTAACCCTGTGCCCCAACCCTAATCACAACAGAGGGAAATGTACCTATAAATAGAAATATGTTACACGATTTATTTTGAAGCTTTCGTGCTATATCAATTGAATCCCCGTGAATCCCACAATTTTTTATATGACAAGCTGTCCACAAAGTTTATATAGAAATTGACAGTTTATAAATACAGAAATAACGAACTACAAATTCTAGACATTGAGCAAAAAAAAGTTAACAACAACGATTTAGCATAGGTAACGTGTGTTGGTGTTAGCTTATAATTTTTTTTGCTATATTTCGTAGACAAACCTTTTAAAAGTTCAAAGTAAATATATAACAATATAAGTTAACTGTATATTTTTATTTTTTTTATTTTTGAACGATTTTTAAGATAGAATAAGAAACAAATAGAAACGAATGCATGTATAAAATTACAAAACCTTCTTCAATAATATTACCATCATATTATTAGAGATTATATAGGATGCTTGGGTTTTAAATCATATATCGATATCGAATTTATAGATTATTTAAGTTCCTATAAATTACAAATGTTCTTTATCACGTTATTAACATTGATAAACCTGATACTTTACTTTTATAGATAACAGTCTAAACTCCGTTGAGATTCTTTACAAGACACCATATCCCTTTTTCGTAGGGCAAGTAATCTGAATCCAAGTTAATTTGGTTCATTAAAGACGAACGCTGGATGCCATGCGAGTCATAGTTATCCTAATAAAAAAGGGGTGTATGGACGCTGTTCCTCTCGTAGGACAAGTAAACCTGATACCCAGAAGTGTCAGGAAGAAAGTTGGATGCAATATTTTTTTGTTATCCTAATAGGTGGACGCGTAGTCTTGTAAACATATTTAACGTATACTCCGAACACTAGCACTTACAGAACACGAAGGTTATGTTATATTTATATTTTTTACTTTGGAGAATGGCACTTTTTGGTTTTATTAACAACAATAATAATTATTTAAATATTATAAACCATATAATCGAAGAGATAGAATCGTGGGATAGGGAGGGATGTTGGATTTGATCAGATCTTGCAACCAGAAATAATCAATAATTTTATTTTTAGTGAAAGTTCCGAACACACAATTAAGGCATGAATACTTCATTTGTGACAGTGCATTCTAATGTACCATCTTCTGAACTTGCAAACTTATGACTACTCTTTCGTACAGATTTTCGAGAAATTTATTAACACTACAAAAGGCAGGCAATATAAACTTTCAACCTTCTCTCTGAAGTTCGAAAAAGATAACAATCAACCAACTAGTACACATTGGGGGATTGTATAACCATTTTTATTCTCCCAGAATATGATAAAATAAAACTGGATTATATAATTAATGTTGTAGTTTAGAGATATATGGAAAATTTATATAGACACTAGTATGTAACCATATATAGATTTGATTTTTTTGATTAATTTTTACAATAAATAAAACAAAGAATGTTGATGCAATTTTTACAAGTATTTTTTTTGTATAGTTAACCTTTTGAATATATTTAATTTTGTAATAAACAATGTTGAATGATCAATTAACAATCAATTCCTTGAGAAAATTAAACTCTAGGCTTGTTCTTCAAATTGATGAACTTAGAAAGGAGAATGCTGAAGTAAAGGCTGATTGAAACAAGCTATAGAAGAAAATGCAATGCTCAAGATTAGATTTGAAGAACTAGAAAAGAAAAATAAAACAGTTACTGTCAAGCTTACTGCCAAAAATACCGAGCTAAAAGATAGAGTCACGAAATTAGAACAGAAGCAGACCCAAGTCATCACTAATGACCAAGATGCAGCTTCTACAAAAGATATTTTGTGGTCTACAGCTTGTTCAAAATTATCAGTAAACACCCAGATCCAAGCACAAAGTATTATTTCTTCCAAAATAAGAGATGAGTCTAAAGGGTCATTATTCATTCAATTTCCTATCAAGGGCCAATCTGACAAGGAGAAAGACAATAATCCTGATCACTTACCTGAATTAGAACATAACCCGACAAGACCTGAATCATTAGCAGAATCTAAAACACCCAAATCTTCATCACAAGATACTATCAGTGACGATTCAGTTGAGATTCTTAAATTTGTAGAAACAATATATAAAGAGAATATTAGTAATGAAATAAGGAAGAGAAACAGAAAAAAGAAACTTCAAAATCAAGGATCAATGCAAAGCACATCTTCCTCTTCTGATATACAAAACAATGGGTTAAATCCTGTTATCGATATCCATGAGCATAAAACCACTCAATCAGAATCAATACCTACTGATCAAGCACAAAATATTGAAATAAAAATTCTATATAATAAAAGAGTCGAGCAAGACTTAAGACGCGACTTATCTTTGTTCATTAAAGATAATAATAATAAAGTTAGTGAAGTATTTGATATACAAATTCCCGAATTCTCGCTAAAAACAATCATAACAGGATCTAGCAAAATTACAGCACAAAATATAGCTGATTTGTTTATTATAGCAATGAAAGTTAGACAAAAAGAAATTTTATGCTGGTATTACTACTATAAAACATATGAGGATCGAGTCGAGAACATTAAACGTATTGTTATAGAACAGTTTATTATTTTATTAGTTTATTATTCCGATATTGTATTTTATTATTTATTTTATTAT